GTCACTTCCAGGGCGGCTGGCTGGCTGGTTAGACTCAAAAGCAAACGCTCCCGCACACATATACAATCCATGCCGCCCAAAACACCGCCGCCTATGAATGTGCGCTAATGTACTCAGCGAATAAATAAGCGCTTACAAGTACTCGCAGTCGCGAGCGCCGTGTGGCACTCCAAAAGTGGCAATAGGGGTAGTTTAACGCTTTTCCAGTTTTAGTTGTTTACGATTAGTTATAATAGCTCGTGTTGTTGTTCGCCGCCGGGCTTCATATTTACTGCTAGTTGAAAGTAATTATTATTGTGAATTTATTGCGTCGGCGTCTAGAAAACACCGAACTGTGCCATTCCGCGCGCCGCTACTTAATATCGCTGCAATGAATTAGTAAATAGTTTGATATTGGGTTTTGGCAACGAATTTGTTAGTGCCCATTATGAAGTTAAGAGCAGATGGTGACGGCAATCCATTAAATTAACAAGTTGTGGTAATTGTTGCAATATATCGCATATATGAATGAATATTATTTACTTCCACGCCAGACCAATTTGGTCAATTCTTTTTTTTTAATGTTTGTGAAAGTCCAAAGATGGTTTTTATGGCGAGAAAAATTTGAATAATTGCCGGGGAAACCCTAAAGACAGCCCTTTTCTATGAGATAAAAGTTCACATTGAGATTCAATAATACTTATAGTTGATTAGTTGAATCCAAAATGGCACGCTGAAGTGCATTATTAACAATTCTTTAATATTTAGTTTCTTTAAAATAAAATTGCGAATCTTATTTATAAAATGGACACATACTATGACTAGAACAAGAGAGTAAAAACGAATTACATTTTTAATAAACACTACCGGGACGAAGTCGTTGGCAAAAGCTAGTTGGACATAATTATATAATTTCCAGAATTAACATGACGTCACACACACTATATATATCACAATTTGCACCTGCCAATACAAGAGAACTGAAACTGGGTTAAGCAGCTGTGTTTATTTAGATGTATATGATTGAAATTACTAATTTACCCGAATGATAGTTTCGGAACATGTCATTAGATGCACCAAGGTGTGAATGAAATTGCAGTTCCGAGAAACATACTAACATACACCCACATATCGGCCATGCTTGACGTTTCCGGTGACACCCCGGAGCAGAGCAATGCATCTACCGCAGCGCCCCAATCACCTCGACGCTTGTTTATTATGCAGCTATGCTCAAATGAAGCCCACACATGCGTCCTAACTGCGGGTGTTACTTAATGATTAGAATGGCCGCAGGACACGAACGCTCACGCACGATAGAGAATTGAAACTGGCAAACGCATCCTGTGTTCGCTATCCTGTGAGTAACCGTATAACCTGCGCGCCGGCCTGCAGTTCTGCGTATATTGATTCCTTTAATGCGTGAATATTAAATGCACGCCAACTTACTTACTGTTTGTGGAAATCAATGAATGATAAATGCAGGTTAATAAATCGAGCTTTGTATGAAAATTATAAAGTGCATTAATATAAATATACAACATAAAAACATGTTATCAACATAAATACTAAAATATGTTTTGTAATAGATTAATATTTATTATTATAAATATATCGGTGACATTCGGTGTGTTTTACGTTTACGATTGAACGGACGTAGTCAATGATCAAAGGTGGTTAATGGCTGTGAGCGCGTTTAGCGGTTCAATAAACTTTTAAATTGGAAAATGACTGTGGATAGTGGATAATTTCTTAATAATAAAACGACGTTTTATATTCGTATATATTCCATACATTTATTACACAAATGACATGAAAAGGATGCGCATACTTCCGGTTAGTGCTTTCTATAATTGTCTTGCGGTCGGTTTGGTTTACTATTTACGATTATGATCACATTATGACGATATAACAATATAAAAACAGCATGAAGGAGGTCAGGGAGTTAGTGGGCTAATAAAAACGTACCCAACCGCCCCCCAAATCATGACATTATAATGATATAACATATCGCATTAGTGCTCTACCACCGCCTCAGCTCAGCGTAGGAACATTAGAAGCATCGGGATGCCGCCGCGACGCCTCGCAGCGTAGATGCCTGATGCGTGCGACGGCATCCGACGCACTTTATTACGCGCAACATATTCCTATATATAGCTATGGGCAACAAATACGGGCGTTAGGGGAGGTTTTTGCAGTCAAGAGGAATGGAGGACATGGGAATTCAAGGCGAAACCAAGACGCCTTCGTATTTCTTATCGTTAAGATATGACCAACAAAAAAACGCGCGTAAAAATTGCGTTTTTGTTATAAAAAAACAAAGGTCAACGTCAACGTGGTGAAGAATAAATGTATTCAAGAAGCAAATTGGTGAAACATCCACTTTGAGAGTGGCTCGTACAATATTTAAACGTTTCTTTTGTAATTAGTTTCGCTTTTGCCCATTTTGCAAGTCATTCTTTGGTCTTTCTTTTTAACCGCAAAGCGCGTTTATTTCAGCCTCTAAGGAAACTGTCGTTCAAACTATGTAACAATATGTTTAACAATATGCATGATTCTGGGACTTTGAGTCTCCGGGGCCTGAAGAATTTATATTAAAGCGGCGGCTTACGTTTCTTTTCGCCATTTTTTCTTCTTTTTGTGTTTAACAAGGACTACGGCCTCAACGGACCTTGTACAAAAAACTTCTTTTCAACTTTTTAATTATTCCTAGTTTTATCTTATGAGATCAGAAAGTATTCAAGTAATTTTTGTGTTAAACACTTTTTTTAATATAAATTAAAAAAGTTTTTGATGTCTCTTTAGTGATGAAAAAAATATTGGTGCAAATTTTGCAAAATAATCGAAACGTGTCGAGATAAAAGTGTTTATCAGAAGATATACGAGCATTTCCTGTAGATGCGAAGCGTTCGTTGAGCCCGGCCAGGCCAACGTGTTTTCTTTTCATCTCGTGGGACGTTTTTCAAACCGATTTGTGCGCGGACGCAACCCAAAGCCCGCATGTTTTCCCTCGTGTTTTCCTTCGAATGGAGCTATACGTTTGCTTGTTTGGCATTTGGCCCTCCGTACACCCCCCATTCAAACACAAACACAAATATTTCGATTTCTTTTGACGCTCAACTAACGTGACTTGCTTTTAGCTTATTACCAAAGCAATCGGTGTTGCATGCATTGATTGACATTGTCATTAGGAAACTTTAGCAAAATATTTAAACTTGAACAAATTTAAACAAGTTTGTTTTGTTAGCATAACCTATTCATAACTAAAACAACCCGTCGGGATGACAAAATTTCGTCTCGAAGCGAACTGTTATCATCAAGCAGGACGAAGCGGACGCCTGCAGTAAATCAAGCAGCTTCAGCTTGAATCTGTCCGGAGCGTCTCGACGGCAGCGCTGGAAGAGGTACTTATCTAGTGCATTCCCGATGCCACGTTCATACAATTCTCTCTCGGTCGGTCGGGCGGCGGTGGTGGTGCGGTGGCACATTCCCATCGCGAGTACCGTGGCGCTGGCACATTCACGACCGGTACAGATTTCTCGCGCCGCAACCGCCTCGCCATTGTCTCCCTTGTTGCCGAAGTGGTTAAGACTGGGCGCGCGCGCCTGGGATATTGGGCGGCGGCGAGGACCAAGTATTGCCGCCGTTTCCGGCTAGACGCTTTCGCAACAGCTACTAAACCCTACTCATCCGAGTGCATATTCGTTCGCATCGGTGACTTTATGATCCCATTCCGTTTTAGAATTCCGGCCGGCCGCAACAATGCCATTCTTGCACTATACAGATTAAAATTAAACAATTTTAATGGAAAGCTGTTGAATTTAATCGTCGTTTTGTTCGCCACCACGATGCGCAAATTGGTATGCAAAAGGTCAACTGACCTATAATATGATAATTAAAAATTTAATTATTACAAATATGGTTATTAAAAATGCTTATTATCATTCGTCAAGATGATTTTTCTTTACAAATTTAATAATATAGTGTCTAGGGTTTATTTGAAGCATTCTATATTTTAAGAAAAATATATGAGACCTGCTTTCCTTGAGGAAAAAATTCAGCTCAATTTGTTTTAATAATTTAATTAACAAAAAGCATTGGCTACATCCACATCCACATCTGCAAACCCTTTGAACCTTTATTTAAAATTCTTTCGTCCGTCGTGTTCATCTAACAAAGCACACCGGGCATCTCAGCATCATATTCCCTTTTTACGTTTCCTACTCTCTCACCGCTACAATCAGTTTCTTTCCTTCGTTCCCCATGTACAAAACTTGTGTGTGTGTGCACAGAAGAAATTTATGCACGTAAGCATGTAGCAAACAAGAAATGCAAAGTCATTACACGTCCGACCTCGTGAATCTGTCTAATCTATCCCGAAGGATGCATTTATGTATGCGTTCGGATGCGATGTGTTTGCCGTGTTGCCTTTACTTGGCTTACATTTGCTCGCAAGGCGGACAAGCAGGTTCTCCGCGTCCTATATATCCGTGGAGGTCGTCTTTTACATTTTTTGGTTTTCTGCACTCTATGCCTTGTGAATTTTATCCGGCGCTTTACGTCTTCGCCACGTCCTCGTCCTCGTTGCTTCCACGGCACTTTGCATTCACTATTTACAAGTCGTAAGACGGCCAACTATGTGTACGCAGGGCTGGGCGGTTTAAAGTGGAGCGGCAAGGGGTGAAAGTATTAGCCGCCGGTGAAACGCCACCTGATCCAATACGAAGGTCTTTATGAATTCGATTTGACTTGAATCTACGGCCGCTTTGCAGAGTTGCGTAATATTAACTTTGAATGAAACAAAATTACGGGTATTTATGTGGTAGCAAGTAAAAACCATAAAATGGCATTCAAATATAAATCATTTTAAATATTTATTATATTTCCTTAATTAGAAATGGATATATCTAAAAATAATTTAATAGAACTATTACAAAGTAATCAGATTCAATTTCTTGCTACGAAAATTACCTCGCATGCTACACGCAGTATATTTTTAGAAGGAAGAAACTGTAATAATTTACCTGCCGTTCCTCGGGCCGACGTTTGGGACGTAGGAAGAGCTCGCTGTGATGGCCTCGTCCGGTATATCCCCGGATTCCATTCCGAGTGCTTCATTGCACGATTCTGCAAAAAGCACAAAGCAAATTCGTTTAATTAGAATCCAAGTACATTCTAAATGCTTGAAATATTCACATGATTATCTTTTTACGCATTTATTATACATAAATGTATGCAAATGACATAATAATTACGAGAAAACATGAAAATTATCAAGGACACAGTTATATTTTGGAACCTCATTAAAAATTTACCAAAATGATGGATATTTAATTAATTTGTTGAATAAAATTCTACATTGTGAATTAATTTACTGGTGGATATTATATTTATTGTTTAAGCCAGCTTGACCTACGTGTAGATACAATATTCAAATTACATTCGAGCACAAGCCGGTAGTAACCATGGGTCATCAGGAAGTAGAACAAATGGTAACATTGGAAGAGCTGCAGGCGGTGCAGAAACAATATCTGCCTGAACCAACTCACCATATCTCAGTGCACACACAGGGTGATAAATAAAATATTAAATAATCAAATGAAACTGAAAAGAATTAAAAATATTTTTCAATCAAAAAAAGAATAATACAATTATATACCTATATATAATATAAAAATATCAACATAAATATCAAACTATAGTATCCTGTAGATTGGTGCAAAGGAAGCAGGATGCTGAATAAAATTGAAATTGTTCTACCCATGCAACGTTACATTCGATTCTGTTTCACAAAATGTTACATGATTTCATTATTGTTGAATTTTTTTGCAACATATGCAGAAATAATATTTATGCAAATACATATAGGTAGGTTTACTGTTACCAATTGCAATGAATAAAGATGGGGCGATATATTTTTAATCGTTATTACATATTTCAATTATTTACAGACATTGCGATGAATTAATACCATTTCGAGTATTTACAACATTGTTATTAATTCTTGCATTGTTTAAAAGGTTACAGTAAATAAACGAGGCAAATGTAAAGCAATAAATAATTTTTGAACAAATCGTCCTTTATTTATTTCGCAATCCCAACGTAGTCGTAAAACTAAAATATCGCGTAGGTTCCAGTGAGTTTTATAATTTAGCGCATGCAACGGATGAATATTGTAATTCAATTGAATATTTACGTTTTAATATTTATTTAGTACAATAAAATACGTAGGTATTACCTATATCTTGCTTTTATATAGATTAGCATTCAAAAATGGAATGTTTAATCAGTTCAATAAATTATTTTGCTTTAAATTCCTTTGTATAACCAGCTGGTATTGAATTTGTTATTGGGAATTAATATTCAATCATGAAGATGTTTGGAATGCATGGATAAACAATTGTATAATCATACAATAAAATGTGTAATCATAGCAAATATATTACAGTTATGAATTACTTTAAATGATAATTATGAAAAAAATATTTTTAAATAATTAAACAAATCGTTAGTTGCAATGCAAATGGTGTTTCTATCTTATAAGAAATAACGTCTAGACTGAAAATCCTCATTCTTTCAGTTAGTACAAAAATTGTATTCAAATAACCTTCGTTTTTATTTGAACCGTATTGTTATTTCTTATTGTATATATTGGAATAATATGATTAATGGATTTTTAAGAAAAAAATACCTATATTAAAGTTTGAGTTGACGTATAACTGCCGATCATGATACTTTGTATCATCGTTTAAAGTTTTTGCTTAAAATTTTCTTTGAGAAACTAAAAATTTAATTTTTTTTTATAAGAAATTATTTAATATTATTTTAAAAATAGTGTAAATTTATTCTTAGAAATAATTGCGATGTTTGCTATAGTGGAAGTTAGTTCAGTGCTCTGGCCTCGTGAAAGTGAGTATCAGTGTTGGTTGTACGTTATGATAAGACTGATTAGAATTTATGCCCTCGAACCTAGTAGAATATTCGCACTTCCTGTGCGTCTATACGTCTTCCTTTCCTGCTTCTTATCCCTGGTAATTTCTCAACCTTATAACCCATCCTCGCACTATTTTAGTTATACATATATACATATTATTATATCAGCCTAGTAGCATGTTTCAGTTTAACATGCGTTAGTCGTAAGCTGTGCAGATGCGTGTAAATTTACGTGATTCGAAATTTAATGCAGAAAATTTATGTGTTAGGGTTAACATGTCCCAAAAACAGTACATTTTCTGAAATTGGTAGAATTATTAATATCCATATTAGTTTACACTTAACTAGCCTTAGATATATTTTACTAAGACAATATTAAGTCTTTCAAAAGTTTCCTATTTTGTACGATAAACACATTTTACTCCTGCAGAATTGTCGCGCATATTAAGCTCGTTTAAGGTGCCCAGGTGTCAAGCTATTAGAAAAGGGCGCAACCATAGCATTCTGTGAAAGTGTAATATCGCTGGATGCAATATAAAGTGGTAAAAAGCAAAACGTTGTTGTTGTATTTCAAGGCGTGCATAATTACGATTCGTTCCCAGCCACGAAAACGCTGCGCTCAGGACGAACGCACGTAATTTATGCAAATCGATATTTATGAATTATTTAACTTTTGTGTTTTCGCCCGCGATATGAATATCTACGACCCGGCGTTCCTTATATTTCACACAAATCAACATAGGCCTTTTGTTCGCCAAGTTTTCGAAATTATTTTATTATAAGATATCGTAGTTTCCAGGGTAGTGCTGAAACAGTAAAATCATGCAGAGATGCACAGTTTAAAATAAAAATTATTAGATCAGCTTTATACGAGAATATTTTTTAAATTTATTTTTTATTTTTTGGTGTAACTACCTATATTTTGAATAATAAAAATTGCAACGTGAGTACTATGAAATATGTATAAAATACCATTCGTACTCTCTGAAATACACCAATAAATAATAAACTTTGGACTCTATTTTCACTTTAGTTATAAATATGAAATAAGGCATTGACATGTTACATATAGCAAACACACAGCCTCTGTGTACAGCGCTTGATTCGCGTAAAATAAATGTTTGCTTTAAACACATTTGCGTATGCTAGATTTATGTAGAAATATTTGTTGGCCGAGCGGAAACAACCCATTAATATTTATCAATAAAATGTTTTTTACATAAACGTATTTTCACCCTTTTTTCACGCATCGTTTGCGACACGCTTATGAGCACGAAATTATTTAGCAAATTCAATAATTCCGCTGTGTTTGCATTCCAATGGCAATTTTAAGTTTTCATTGTATTTTTAATTGCGCAAACAGCACTGCCGATGTGCGAGAATCCAACGGAATGGTCGTGTTGGAATAATATGGAATTGCGTTTGCTACTCGCACATTCGAATGGGCTATAGCTATGTTATTATCCAACAAATTGGTTTCACAAATTTTATACGTGATACGCAAATATTAATAGTGGCTTTTCATCAGGTTAATGTGGTTGATTTTAATTCGATGTGATAAAACTCAGTGCGCACACAATTTTATTTGGATTAATAAAATTAATATTACAAAAAATTTCGTTGATAATGTAGTGAGTAAAAGTTACAATTATATAGTTATTTATTTACATTCATCATTTTCATTTTAAAGCTTTAATAGTATGATTTTTGTTCAACTGTTTTACTTTTTTCATTAATCCACGGCCATAAAACTGTTTTTTGGCCTCGCAAATTAGTATAGTTTTACATAGATAACCAAAAAAGTATTGTTCAAAACTCACAAAGCACAAGACAAAAATTGATCATGATTGGATAATTAACTTTTACAAAAAATGTCTCTTTGTGACACAAATGTCACAAAGTTAAAAGGGTTGCACAGCAAAAACGAAGCTTTTTATGTACCTCGAAAAAACGCTTAACTTGAGGAAAAACCAACGACTGCTCAACCTTTCACACACACAAAAAAACTTTCGTTCCGCAAAAATGATGAAGAATGGCAGAATGCGTAAATGCGAGCCACCAAAATAACGCCCGCAAAAAACAGGTCGGCAAACACAAAAACTAACAAGCTAATGAAATATAAGTGTGATTAATCAATCAATGTGTAACAAAACAAAAACTATCAATTCGAATCCAACCCTGAACGAATTTAAAAATATATTTTTAATGTTTTATTAAGTGGCTGAATAAAGTTGGCGAAAATGAGAAGTGCACTCAAAACAAAATTTGCGCTCAACATGAAACTATAAATTTATGGAACGATCGAAACAAAAAGTTTCTCCAATGTTGATTCATTGAATTATTGCGTGACCACCGCACAAAATATTAGGTAATATTAAATGTGACGTAAAACTGTATTATATATTAAATTCATGCAACAATGCAGTGTAGAAGTATTAAACTTTTATGAGCGCTCATTAAAATATACATTTTTTTAGGTTCACTACAGATAAAATAAATAAAAGCACAATTTTTTTGCTAGAATTGTTCTATTTAGTTCTTAGTGCAGTGCTTTGTTTTCTTTATGCATTTAAATTGTCACTGATAAACTGATTGAGATTGTGGGATAACATACAGGTGGCGTGAGCAAACACAAATTAATTTCTGTCGATTTTTCTGTGTCACCTAGTCTTTCTCCACTAATTCTCATGTGGCTTGGTAATTTTTAGTCTTTCTTACTCTCATGGTGTTTTTTTTTGCTTTTACGATCAAACTTTTATTTTCTTTTTGCCGACCGCCGGGTTACTATTAAGACCGCTTGATATCGAAACGCAATGCTAATTTTTGCATAATAAATTATACACTTTCGCTGTGATCGTGACTTTGTGTGCGCCTATACGGTTTTCATAAGATGTAGTTTGCCGTGTGGCAAATCCATATCACACGTGGCGGTTGTATATAAAACAGTAGCAATCATCGGGCTGAAAATTCACGTCATTACATCGATGGCTTATTAAAATCGCGTTTCCATGTTGCTGCCCCCAGCACGCACTGGGCAGGTGAATATTGTGAATCGCAAACAGATTTTTGTTGCTTTGCTCAATTTATTCAACGTGCGTTCGTGTTTTGTTTCATTTTTCATGTTTGCTTGTGTTGCTATATTAGAGATATACACACAGTGTGAAAATGCGTGTGTTTTTTGATGTAGTTTGTATTCGGTGGGTAAAAATGGTCTAAAACCGAAAGAAATCGTACAAGTGAGAAAATAAACGGGTTATTTTTACGATCGTGTGTGCGCAGTTTGGTGTAATTATTGTGCATGCGTTTGGTGAATACAAATTCAATTAGGCCGCGAATGAGTCAAACCATTACCCATTTATTAGTCGCACCGGTATATCGATGTAATCGTATAATCGTAATTAAACGTTGCTTTCAATTTTCTTTATCCGTCTCACGCGTTAGCGGGCTTTGCGAACACAATTTATAATAGAGTATTTGCATGAAAAACATTTTCGCGTAATTTCCGGCTTTGACTTGATCCAAATTGAAGAAAAAAATATTTTTTAATTAAATAAGGAAGGAAATATTATGCTTATAACTATAAATTTGAGTAATATTGCAATAAATTAATACCGGAATTAGTATTCGAAATATGCACCCCTTCGTTTTGGTAATAATTGCCACCCAAAAACCGAGAAGACATTCCGAACTTGCGTAGTAATAGCGAGAACGCTAAACGGCGAATTAGAGAGCGCACAATTGAAGGCGCCGCAGGAAGTACGAACGGCAACAATGAACGCAACAAACTTAATAAATTAATCCGAAATGAACGTTGCGCATTGTTACCATAATAACGCACATTGTGCCACCATACCTTACAATAAGTCAGCGCGCAAGGGGAACGCAAGTGTTTAAGCTAATTGGTTCACAGAACGAGGAAGAAGTGTTCTGCGGTTTTGGGTGCGATTCGCGCAAGAGGTATGTGAAAACAAAGCAAACATTGAGTAAACAGAAACACTTGAGGCTGGTATTCTAATTAAGAAGCAACGAAATGTAGACATGCATGTGCGAACACTCAATCTAATGATGACGTGATGTTTGCCGCCATCAAGTCGCAACTCTGACACGTTGGAAATAAATTACAAAATGTACGATCACTGCGGTTGGGTTGGCGTACGATCTGATGAATTTTTATTCGATTGCCGCTGTTGAAATAATAATAGAAGTTTCAATTCGCAACTTATATTCGTTCGTACTCTTTGGAACTATGCTAGTTTATGACGATGGCGAGAGAGCGAAGGGCGCTTATTTCGCCCCAGTTGTTCCAGCATTGGTGGCGGCGACGACGGCGGTTGCGGCCGGCGCACAACTGCCGCACCGATTGCGGGCTGAAACAATGGATGGTCCCTTCTGGAGTTTATGACGTTTATACGTACGTCTAGCGGGCCGATATTACATTTATAATTGAATCCGTGATTAATACCTACTCGACCTTTGCATACCGATGTTGAATAATTCATTTCGTTTGCTGCGGGTGTTGCGTTTTCGTTAGCCACCAGCGCCACAATCGCATTCCCTCTCGCCATCAACGCCTTTTACTTTCCAACGCGCTCCAATCTTGACAGTCCGAAGCAAATATTTATTATTTAAACAAATGATGCCACTGAAGCTTTTGACAATCTATTTTAACCCTTTTCATTTCTGTCTGCTTTCTCAAAATTAGTTCACGAAACATGTTTATTCAAACTTGTCCAGCCAAACTTAAAAAAGTGAAATTAGGAATTTCTTCAATAATTAACTACAAAATCATACAAATTATCAATGTTTGTAAGAAATGTGAGTTTGAATAATTCTCTTGAAGTTGCTTATCCAGTTTTTTTTGCAAAATTCATTTTAACAGTTGTCGCCTGATCAGTGGTCAACTCGACGTGTTTCGTAACTGTATTGGAGACACGTACAACAACTCGTTTATTCGTTTGTTGGCACCGAGACAAAAGCTTAAAAAGAAGCAAGCAAAACTAGTACTGGTGTCCCGACCCGTTCGAGTTTAACTTAATTTACAATGAGTTGCCAGTCACAGCGAAGTCTATCAGGACTATCAAGTCCCACATAACGAACTTGTTCCTCTCTCACAAACCGCTCATGACGGCATTGGTAGTGCCTCTGTGGTTTTCTTTGTTTCATTCGTTTTATTTTATTTAAGGTGTCTTTGTTTACTTCCCACAATGCCAACTTTTCCACTTGAAAGCTCCAGATATTCTCTTAGGCAAAACCTCCTGGTGGAAGTATCTGAAGTGGTATTTGGAGCGAAGATAAATTTGCGTAATTTAGGGCGACGATAGTAAATCAATAACGGGCAGAAATATATTTGTAAACGATTTGTCATTTATGTTGATAGTAGCAGCGCGCACTTCGACGTGTTATAGAAAAGATTAAAGTTTACGACACTCATTTATTTGCAATAAATTCCAGCACGACGTCGTCGCCGTCGTCGTTTTTACACATTTTCGACGTGACGGCCTTTTGCTTAAAATATATAGTATATCTTTTTACGATTATGGGGCGCGTCGACGTTGGCGGCAGAGGTTTGTAGAGTACTCCTCGTTTAACAACTAACGAAGTGCGACATTAGTCGATAAGAACGTTTTTGAAGGCACGCTAATGAGTTTTCCATCGCAACCCCATTTCGAGCGCATTCTTTTCGCACGACTTGTGCAGGGAGTTTGGCTTACGTTAAAATGATTTATCCAATTAAGCTATGCAAATAGGTACAATTTTTGTGTTGGACTTGAACGAAAATAATTGCTAATCAATTTTAACCATTTGAAGAGTTCCGCAGAAGTGCAGTGAAACTTTAAAGAAAATTAGTTGATTTAACGGAAAGTTTGTTGCGGGCTGAAGATAAATTTGGCGACCGACGTTCGACGTTTGATTTATTGTCGAAGAAGGCTGGAAGAAGCAAAACCAGACGGGCATTTTTCAACCCCGAAAAACTATCGGAATGCCGTAATTTTTAACTACAATAGTGGCGCAAACTTTTCGCCGCTGGCGACATGGAAGAATTCGCGCGAAACTAGTTGTAACAAATTTCACGTTTCTAGCCTATCCGTCTTGAACGGAGTGACATGCAATTTACTCGTTGGATTTAGTTCGACGGTGGCGGTGGCGGTGCTGACGATGGCAGGCAAGCAGGCGAGCGAGGAAATGCCTCGCGCCTAGATCGAAAGGGTTTCGCCCGCCGTCTTCCTGCCGGCGTGTGCACGCGTGCTGCTCGTCTTTCGGCATTCTCGCGCGTCCGGAGGCTCTAAAACGTCACCGGCGGCGGCGCGTCAACGGAAAATGGTCCGCGCGCGCGTGGTGGCATGGCGTGACCCAGTCCGCGGCCCGCCACCACCGTCACGCTTCGAAAATATTCCACGGCCCAATGTAAAACTCATGTTCGGCCCGAGAGAACCGTACCGGAGTAAAAGGACGGCGCGGTGGTCGCTAATTTAAATGAAGTTTTTCGGTGATTGATGAGCTTTTTTTCTGGTCGGCCGTTGACCAGCATGTGGTCAGAAATGAGCAAGTGCCGTTGGGAGTATTGCATAAAGGACTGAGTAAAATTTAAAAAAAGGTTACAATTCTATAAAAATACTGAAAAACGACGGAGATTGAGATTGAAGCTTTCTTTTTTGCATTATAACCAAACGTGACCTACATTTCTTTTATAAATAATTTATATAATACAGTTATTAAACGCGCTGATTTATTTGTTTTTTATTAGCCACTTGAGCGATATGCATTTGCTAACTTGCTTCAAGGACGAACGTAAATTGTAGAAAATTTCTTATACTTTGCTTTAGCTTTGAGTTTTGGCTCTACAATCGGCCGATAAGAAATTTATAATTATTTCAACGTTGCGTGCTTAAATATTTCATCAAAGAAACGAAATATTTGTATTTTTAGCAGCAAATTTGCCCAAAAATAAAAAAATGTTTGTGTCAAGTTCCCTAGTTGCACATATATTTCACATAAATTATATAAAATACGTAAATATTTACAAAATGTAAAATAAAATAGAATCATTTGGTGGTTAATTTAATCCAATAATTCTCGACTTCCATTTCAACTAGCAGTGCGGCGCATTTTACGCATTCTGTTCCCAATTTGATATTCGCAATTCCCTCTTCTCATATTTCTCCGAGCATTCCCTCTGCTTCTTTCTACTTCTCGGCATCTCCAACCGCACACACTAGAAATGCTAGAAAGACATGCGTTATGTGTTCCCATTTGAGTTTTTGCCATTATATCCTTCTTCTGCTTGTGCCTATCGCGTGCACTGCGAACAGTGACAAAATTTCCACTTTCCATGTTACATTTGGTTATTATTCCTCTTCTTAATGCGGCAACCCATCCACCGGGCGCACATCCAGCGCTACACTTTATCGCGAAGTGTTTTAATATTCCGCTCATATTTTCACTCCCAACACACACTGTAGTCCTCCAACGGCCAACTAAAAGCCGCAAACATATGTGTACGTGCCCGCTGAATGTAGTAATTTAATTCAATTTTCTTCGGCACAACTAAATCGGCGAAGTTAATTAATTTAAAATTTCATTCTACTCCGCCGCCTCCAACAATGGATATTATATAATTTATGATTTGCTTTTAGGGTTGTTTGTCATTTAGTTCGCTCACTTTTTAAGAACCACGTATAAAATTTCCATCTTCTTTATAGCAAGAGTGCTTGGGCATGCGCTGCGCTGATGTAGTGCCGTCTGATGAAATATTTTTGATAACTTCGTAATAAGTTTACCTTCTGCGAAGGATGTGGAACCAATATATAAGTTGCTGGTTGAAGCGGTTATGCACACACGAGGAAAATCAGAAATTTCTGCATGAATCAGCTCCGTTGCGCATCGGTTGTTTTATACTTGATGTGCGCGTTTGCAAACTTGTAACCGGCGCGACGTACAAATTGTTGCTCTTGTTCTTGTTACGGTTGCATTTTCCGAGGCATGTAATTTTCCACTTGGCTCCCAAGAAGCGCAGTCGACGTTTAGCTAGGAGCATAGAAATATGCAACATGCAAACCGTCCACATCTATACAAGCACGTTCAGAGATGAGTAGTCAAAAACGGGAAACGGTTGAAAGACAATATACAAACATAAACATATTGAACAAGATTGCGAAGCACTTCTGATATATAAATTGTTTTATATGCTCAAGGTTGACAACATACTGATTTTCTAAATGAAGTCGATTTAAAATAAATTTTTATAAAAACTGAATTTTGTTCAGTGAAATGCATAGAAAGTGTATTCTTTTGTTATTTTGTTATTTCTATTAACAATTTAAACATATTTAGAGGTGGCACGAATAGCTTAGCTTATATTGTGTACCTTTTAGTACTCCATTCATGAAATGTATTATAAAAATGTGAACGCTTTAACCGAAACACAATGTAAGCAATTAATCAATTCTAATTTTCTTCCAGCTCAATCCGACCTCTGCTATGTGCTTGCTCATACAACCACCATTTGCCGTCGTGCGTCCTTGGTTAGTTTCACATTAAGCTTTTTTCGCGTTCATCTGATAACAATGCTCGATAATAACGACTCTTTGTTGGGTGCACGTAGTACAATGCGATTGAGCCACGTACACGTTCTGAATAATGCACTAAATGGGGAATTAAATGAATGAAAAACCAAAAACACACCATCCACCCCCGGCTGGCAAGGAAGTGCATTATGCCTCTTGGGCAGCGCTTTTAAAACGTTAATGCTAACTCACGAAATCATACAATACATTGTTTGCCACGCGTCGTGTGGATTTAGGCCGTTTGTTCAGTATAAATTGCAATATTTGTTTGTTATTTGCTCAAACATGTTACGCTCTCGCTTCGGAAAGGTGCGATGCATAATTGATTGCACTTGATTGTTTGATTTATTTACTCTCTGAGCGCCGTATGACTTGCGTACAAAAGCAACAATAGAAAACTGAAATGTAAGAATTCAGATGTATCAATTTAAAATGCAATCTCATTTGTCAAACAATCAGTTTCGAAATGTTTCTATTTAAACGAGGCTTTATCTGCCTGCTGAATATTTATGATAAACGCGCACAAATCAATGTTACTTGATAGATGAACGCCGATTCATCTATCAGGCAACAATTTCGCGAGCACTTTCCGGCAAACGAAATGGAAAACGAGCGCACGTAAAATCTGTCAGCTTTGCCGAGTTTGTCATGTCAACGTCTTACCGCTTGCCGCATTCGTGCGCACATATTCATCTCTCATCTCTTCCTCATTGAATACGTGCACAATTCCTCGACGGGATTGAAGGATTGTTTCAAATCACACACAGCGCCAAATCGCGCAAATCTCCAAAAATAAAACAAACAAAAAATCAACGCCGATAAGCGTAAACGACAAGCAGCGGGCAAAGAAAAATTCATCGCCGTCTCCGGAAGCGTTTCGGGTTCTTTTCCAACTTGTACACTTTTCTTTTATTAGAGAGTGTATGAAGAATGCGACTACAATACAATAAGTGTGGGCAAATACGAGAAATAACTATTTATTTCAAATTTAAGATTTTGTTGTATGTAGAGAGTGTTGCAGATATTTTGTATAACACTATATTTATTCTCTCATTGTTAGTGTAAGGATTATTTGCATCACTTTGTAGAAGTTGCACGTATTTCGCCACGTCTGAAATCTTTTCCAGTTCGCGGTACATTCATATTTCAACGTCCCGTGTGGAAATTCTCTCTGTTGTCGTCCTTGCAACTGCTCGTCTAAGCAAATTCGAATTTCTGCATGTGATGTGTGCGAAACATGTCCGCACATTCAACGCCTCGAGATAGTCGTGTACACATGAAGTGCAGTTCCTGAATTATTGCGTGCGGCATGAATGTTGCTATGTTCAAATAATTCGATTGTGGAAATTGCGAATATTACTAAAAAGAAAATCACATAATAATAATAATGTTAAGCACAATAATACGCTTTAGAATTCCTTTTTAAACTTTGTTCAAAACTGTGATGTAAATTTCGTTGTTTGGTCATCTTGCTTATTGTTATTATAGTAATAGCATCCACCGAAACTAATATTTGAATTTTTCTATACTTATCAATATTATAGATCCTTTTTAATTAACTAAAAGGTTTTTAATAAGTATGATTATTAATTATCTATTCCAAACAACAACATCAATCACCATAGGTAAACAGTAGATGTTAGTAATGTCGGAAGTTGAAATTAATGAACTTGAACCACCCCACCTATAAATACCATGGGTATGTCCCAATTAAGTACTTTTAAATAATATTACTATACACATAATCGACTAAAACACATAAAATGATTATACAATTAATATTAAAATTTGTG